AGTGAGGACATTTCAGGAAAGTGAGGAGATTCTGGCCCAGTCCTGAGTTTCTCACACCCCCTTCAAAGGGCTGTTTGTTTGTTTTAGAGCTCAGGTTGGAATCAGGTTGAGGTTGGGGGGTTAAGGTAAAGCTCAGGCACTTGTGATGGTGAACGGCTCAAGAATGCATCACGCCAAATGAACGCCTCACAAAGATAGGCAAACAAACACGTCTGTGTCTGCGTGTGTGCCTGCACTGACAAAGCCAAGCCTGTCTCAGTAATTTCATGCTCCTCCAGTCACCATTAAGCCTCTAATCAAACGAGGACCAGCCAAAAAACTCTCCATTGGGATGCAGAGGGAAAGGCTGCAGATGCTTACATAATGGTTTGAACTCAATTTCCGGCTTTGTCGAGGAGAATAGCTTCGCTCTGAAACACCCCAAACAAACTGAAATGATTCGATGCGTCATTTCTGGCATCCAGCTTTTCTCTTTGATTATTGCATCATGAAACTGCACTTCTCAGAGACAATGAGACAAACACGTTTGTCTGTATGATCAGACCATCGGTCATCATATATTACATGGTTTGGTTCGTTATTTTTCCTCACGTGTCCTTTCAGTGCCCTTTGCCATTCGACTGGTTGTGCAGTTTGCTTCATTTGACGAGTGCCTCAGGAAAGCCGGTCCATTTAGTAAGTCTGATGTACTTAGACTGTGTGCAGGAGGACAAGCAGAAACTGCTGGGTAGATGTTACAGTCGTCCTCTGATGGGTCTGTTATGTGCATACACAGTGTCATGAACAGAGTGTGCATCATTCAGGTAATTCTGTCTCGGATCACTCAGGGCCTTTCTGCTCAACCACCTCTGACTTTTTATCATAAACTATGGATCTTTAGGGGCGCCGCTATAGCTCACCTGGTTGAGCTGGCGTCCCATGTACAGGGGCTACAACCCCCAATGCAGAGATCATGAGTTTGAATCCTGCTCATGGTCCTTTTCCACAGGTTCTTCTCCCCCACTGTCTCTATCTTGACTGCACTATCAAATCAAGGCTAACGAAGCCAAAATAAATAAACTATGGATATTTAAAATGGTGTCTCTAAAATGTTAGCTTGATATATTAAATCTGTTCGGAGATGACAATTTTTTATTTACATTTGCTCAAAGGCCCACTTTTAGCATGTTTTTGCAAATTGAAATCTGAGGCAGCTCTGTCTGAATGACAACATCTCAGGAACTGTTGAAGATAAAACCTGTAACGTAATTTCTCACCATGCCGTTGATTAAGAATTTAGAATTAATGAACCAAATCTTTGGTTTTTGGCCACAATGACCACAAATATGTATGGAGGAGAAAAGTTGAGGCCCTTAATTCTAAGAACACCAAACCTCCCATCAAGCACAGTGGTGGTAGTATCATGCACTGGGGCTGTTTTGGTGGGTGTTTACCTCCACATTTCTTAGGAAAATCATTCGCCGCAAAGTTGGGCCTTGGGCATAGGTGGGTTTTTCCAATGAAACAGTTGCCTCACACACACATCAAAGTGGTGAAGAAATGGCTTAATCAGGCTAGAATGAAGGTTTCAGACTGGCCTCCCTAAAGTCCTGACTTAAACCCCAACGACAATCTGTGGACTGTGCTGAAGAAAAAAGTCTGTGTCGGAAAGTCAACAAGTTTAGGTTAACTGTACCAATTCTGTAAAGAGGAGTGGCTAAAGGTACAACCAGAAGCTTGTGGACAGCTGCCAAAAGCACCTAGCTGAGGTGAAAATAATGCGACTGGG